CCCTCAGCCGCCGTGGACGTAGGCATATTGCCGAACCACGTAAATCTTGTGTTGTTCACTTTTCTCGTTTTTTAATTCGTATGCCATATTGTCATCTTTACTCTACAAGTGGTATCAGAGGCAGGTTGATTGGGCGACGGAGATGACGGGAGGATCGAAATTCGAGGTCTCGAAATTTGATGGTCATGGCAATTTCGGATTATGGCAGACGAGAGTAAAAGATTTATTAGCGCAACAAGGAATTCAGAAAGGGCTGCACGCAGAAAAGCCAAAGGGGATGGAAGACGATGATTGGCAAGATCTGCAGGAACGGGCGGCCGGGACGATTCGGTTGTGCCTTGCAGATAAAGTTATTATCACGTTATGCATCTCAAATCGGCGGTTGAGATCTGGAAGAAACTGGAATCGCAGTTTATGTCGAAAACCCTAACGACAAAACTGTATCTGAAGCAGAGGTTATACGGGCTGAAGATGCAGGAGGGGACCAATTTAGGGCAACATGTGAATATCTTCAATCAGGTTGTCACGAATTTGGCTTCACTCGAAGTCAAGATTGAAGATGAAGACAAGGCGATGATTTTACTGTGTTCGTTACCTCCTTCTTACGAACATATGGTGACTACCCTTACATATGGGAAAGAAACGATCAATACTGAGGAGATTACTTCAGCGTTGTTGGCTCACAACCAGCGAAAACAGAAATCTGGAGAGTCATCTTCTCAAAGTGACAGTTTATATGTGAAGGGTAACCAGGATCGTGGAAGGAAACAGGTGCGGGATAATTCAGGAAATCGGAATTTCAGATCCAAGTCGCGAGACAAATCGAAAGGGAGGAAAATTGTGACGTGTTATAAGTGCAAGGAACAAGGGCATTTTAAACGGGATTGCCCAAAGTGGAAGAAACAAACTGCTAATATGTCATCCAAGTCTGCGAATGTGGTACAAAATGAGGAATCCGATTGCAGTGATGGAGATATGTTATCTATTTCGACTACGTAGTATGATGATGCTTGGATTCTCGATTCTGGATGTTCATATCATATAACGCCTAACAGAGAGTGGTTTGCTACTTATAAACCAGGCAACTCGGGTTCTGTTTTTCTTGGTGATGATAGATGTTGCGGTATTGTCGGTATTGGAGATGTCAAAATCTGGATGTATGATGGAACTGTTAGGACATTATGTGATGTGAGACATATCCCTGAGTTGAAGAAGAATTTGATTTCTTTGGGTACTTTGCATAGAAATGGTTTCATTCCCAAGGCTGATGAGGATAGGGAAACCATTAAGATTGTGAAGGGTGCTTTGACTGTTATGAAGGGGAGGATCACTGCAGGGAACATTTACAAACTGATGGGAAGTACAGTTGTAGGTGGAGTCCATTCGGTGGAGTTGTGTGAAGATAGCACGAAATTGTGGCACATGCGTCTTGGACATCTTAGTGAACATGGCATGACTGAACTGCATAAGAGGGGGCTTCTGCATGGTGTTAAAACTTGCAAACTCAATTTCTGCAAGTTTTGAGTTCTGGGACAAAAGTCAGTTTCAAGACTGGGAAGAAGAAGACAAAAGGAATTTTGGATTATGTACATTCAGATGTGTGGGGTCCTACTAGAGTGACATCGATTGGTGGTTCTTTGTACTATGTGACCTTTATTGATGATTTTCCGAAGAAAGTTTGGGTGTATTTCATGAAGCATAAATCTGAAGTTTCTGCTAAATTCAAGCTATGGAAGGCTGAGGTGGAGAACCAGACTGGTAGAAAAATCAAGTACTTAAGGTCTGATAATGGTACAGAGTACACCGATTCACAGTTCCAGAAGTTTTGTGAGGAGCATGGTATTCAAAGGCATTTTACAGTGCGTAAAACACCACATCAGAATGGTGTTTCTGAGAGGATGAATCGGACACTGGCTGAGAGGGCGAGGTGTTTAAGACTGAATGTGGGTTTGCCAAAGAGTTTCTGGGCTGAGGCTGTAAGTATGGCTTGTTATTTAATTAACAGATCACCACGTGCATCTCTGGATGGCAAAGTTGCAGAAGAAGTATGGACAGGTAATGATGTTAGTTTTGATCATTTGAAGATTTTTAGCTGTCCTGCTTATGTTCATATTCCTGCTGATGAGAGGTCAAAACTTGATGCTAAATCAAAGAAGTGCACTTTTCTGGGCTATAAGAAAGGTGTGAAGGGATACAAGTTTTGGGATCCAGTTGAGAAGAAGACGGTGATTAGGAGAGATGCAGTGTTTGATGAACAGTCTATGTTGGGATCAGATGCAGATAAGGTACAGGTGGAGTTGGAACATGTTCCAGCAGTTCTTGATAAGGGAGAGAGTTCGAGTTCTGCACCTGATGATGTTGATCATGATTTTCTGGCCCAACTGATGTGCCAAAGAGCTACAAGTTAGCTCGGGATAGAGTGAGGCGTACCAATATACAAGCTCCGGTCAGGTTTGGTTATGAAGATATGGTCGCATTTGCTCTTACGATCACTAGTGTGGATCCTTGTACTTTCCAGGAGGCTGTTTCTTGTGAGAACAGTGATAGATGGAAGGCTGCCATGGAAGAAGAGATGAATTATGTACATAAGAATCAGACATGGGAGTTGGATGTTCTTCCCAAAGGGAAGAAAGCTATTGGTTTTAGGTGGATTTACACAAGGAAGTCATCGGTAACAGAAAAATGAGGGGAAAGGTTCAAGGCTCGATTGGTGGCTAAAGGATACTCACAACAAAAGGGGATTGACTATGATGAGACATTTTCCCCTGTGGTTAGACATACTTCGATCAGGGCTGTACTTGCATTGGTGGCTAGTTGGGATTTGCATTTGGAGCAGATGGATGTGAAGACTGCTTTCTTGCAGGGTGATCTCGCAGAGCCTATTTACATGCAGCAGCCAGAGGGCTTCGTTCAACCAGGGAAGAAGCATTTATTTTGCAGGTTGAAGAAATCCTTGTATGGCTTGAAGCAAGCATCGCGATAGTGGAATATACGGTTTGATTCGTATATGGTGAAGATTGGCTACAAGCGTTGTGATTTTGATTGTTGTGTTTACACTAAGAGCCTTGGTGATGGTTCTATGATTTTTCTGTTACTTTATGTTGATGACATGCTTATTGCTGCCAAGAATATGCGTGATATTATTGATCTGAAAAGCCTTTTGAGTCAGGAATTTGAGATGAAGGATTTGGGGGCTGCGAAGAAGATTCTTGGGATGGAGATTCACAGGATAGAGGATCAAAGAAGCTGTGGTTATCTCAGAAGGGTTATATGGAGAAGGTGCTACAGAGGTTTCGGATGAATGAAGCAAAACCGGTGAGCACTTCATTAGCATACCACTTCAACCTTTCTGTTGATCAGTGCCCCAAGTCGGACAAGGAGACTCACGATATGGTGGAGATACCTTATGCCAGTGCTGTTGGATGTCTGATGTATGCCATGGTATGTACTCGTCCTGATTTAGCTCATGCTGTTGGTTAAGTTTTGCAAGTATATGTCAAGGCCGGGTAAACAGCATTGGGAGGCAGTCAAATGGATTTTCAGATATTTGAAAGGTACTGCGGGACATGGTATTGTATTTGGAGATCAGCGGTTGGATCCTTTGGCTGTAGGATATGTGGATTCTGATTATGCTGGGGACTTGGATAATAGGAGATCTACCACTGGGTATGTCTTTACTTTTGGTAGAGGGCCTATTTGTTGGAGGTCGAATACTCAGCCTATAGTTGCTCTATCTACAACTGAAGCTGAGTATATTGCTTTGGCTGAAGCGGCAAAGGAAGCAGTGTGGCTTGCTGGATTGGTTAGAGAGTTGGGTATTCAGCAAGGTGGAGTTCTAGTACATTGTGATAGTCAGAGTGCCATTCATTTGGCTAAGAATCAGATATATCATGCTAGGACGAAGCATATTGATGTGAGGTTCCAAAAGATTAGGGAATGGATTGCTTCTGGTGATATTCAATTGGAGAAAGTTCATACTGAAGAGAATGCTGCTGATATGTTGACTAAGACTGTTACTTCTGACAAATTCAAGCATTGTTTGGATTTCTTGAATGTTTCTGCATGCTATAGTTGCATTGTACCCCCCGGCCTGCTTGGTGTGTCTCGCAGAGGTACTCGCTATTGTGTTCTCCTAAGGAGGTGATATATTCGCCAAGGTGGAGATTTGTTGATATGGCTCATATATTGACAAAGGAAGGAGGCAGGCTGACGCCTGCGAGCGTAACCGAGCGAACGTAGCGAGGGAAGCGGAGCGACCGAGCGAAGTGAGCAGAGTGGAGCGGTACGGTACGGGGTATTTAAGTAAATTAATACCTTGTAGGGTTATAGTATAAATACATGGTGTATTGATGTATTTGAGACTATTGAGAATAATAAAGATCCCTCAGCCGCCGTGGACGTAGGCATATTGCCGAACCACGTAAATCTTGTGTTGTTTACTTTTCTCGTTTTTTAATTCGTATGTCATATTGTCATCTTTACTCTACACAAGCTGCACTTTTATTTTACATTTAAAACATAAAATGAAATCTTGCCCTAAATTTCACTCTCAATTTCAACTCTCAAGTTCTCTCAACCCCTGCAGCCACAACAATCCATTTTCACCCTCAAGTCTCAACCCTACTCCGCCGCTCTGAACTCCCCGTTCCGCCGCTCGCCGTTGGTTGCTTACCCTCCGGCACTCTCAACCCTGCTCTCACCCACCGCAATACCAAGTTCTCAACACCGCCCTCACCCTCCGGAGTTCTCGACCCCACTCTCACCCTCCGGCGATCTCAACCTCGCTCTCAGTCTCACACTCTCGATTTTTTTTTCTTTTCTCATTTCGATCCACCCTATCTTTCTTCAGTTTTTTTGTTGAGACTTGAGGGTAATTGATGCTTAATTTCCGAGAATCAGCTGTAAATCTGCAAACAAATAATCTTTTGCTCTAATTTCAGCCCCAATTTTGAATGCTGCTGTATGAGTGAAGATCACTTCTGCTATTTTATTTGTTTTTTTAATTTATGAGTGTTGACATTATTGTTATGTTATGGATATTGTTTTGAGTGTTGGACTTATGTAACATTATGCATGCTGCATGTTTTCTTAATTATTGTGGTTGTTTTATTTTGTAATGGTAATGGGATGTGTAACAACAAATTTCGTGTATTGAATTTAAAAACACGAAAAATATTATTCAAATGAATTTCTTGAATCAAAACAATATAGCGGGTTACAATCTCTATTATTCCTCTGATTCTTCTCACAAACAATATTTAAGTCTTGGAGCAAAATCTTCGGCTTGATCTTCTCCTTGACTTGATTTGACTTGAATTAACGTAATCCGAGGGCTTGAAAGCTTTTTCCCGGATCAAACGTCAAAATATCCCAAGAACGCGAAGAACACGAATCCTTGGTCTTCGCCGCAAAGTAGATCTTGAATCTTCTTCACGCCGGTTTTGAATTTACTAACGTTATTCGGAGGCTTCGCAGCATGTTTCCGGATTGAACGCTAGTCTTGAGGTTGAACGCGCTTGAATCTTGCTGTGAGTCTTCAAGAACGCCTTTAAATCTTCAAGAACACTTGAATCTCGTCGAGAGATCTTGAACTTGAACTTGAATATGAACGCAATTCGGAGGCTTGACAGCTTGTTTCCGGATTAAACGTCGGTTTTGAGCTTGAATGTGCTTGAATCTTCCTTCGAATCTTCAAGAACGGCTTTGAAACTCCAAGAACACTTGAAACTTGTAGAGAGAATTCTCTAGAGCTCTTGAACTTCAAAATATGAATTATGATATGTTTTTGACATTAGGGAGAGCCCCTACTTATAGGTGTAGGAGAGATCTCCCTACCAAATTTAAGAATCGTAGGACGCGATTTGATTGGTCCATGATGATTCACATAAGATCTTTATGATCTACTTAGATTTCCCAAAATCTTCTAGATCCACTTAAATCTTCCAAGATCTTCTAGAAGATATGATTTATTTACCAAGAATAAGATTTGACACTTGACATTATTTGATTGGTCAAGAATTAAAATATTAAAATATCAATTAATTAACTATTTAAATTTAGGAATTAAATTTATGGAAATTCCTAAAATATAAATAGAAAATATCACTTGATTTTTAATAAATTAATTTCCACGTGGCGCCATTTGATTGAACACAAATTTTATGTCTCTACAAATGCCCCCTCGAGACTTGTTCACGGACGACGTGTCTTATAGTGAATGAGTCGCGACTTTCTTTGATTTAGGCTTGAGAAAATGTGACATGGATTTATAACGTCCAAGAGAGTCCAAATTAACGGACTTGTCATGTGTATCAAATGGCCCAAAACATTATCCATTTAGATGCCCTATAAGGCCCAAAGCCTTTGAATATCTCATATTGGGCCCTTATCAATTTGAAAGTCTTTATCCATAATATGAGGCCAACTTTCAAAATAAATGTAGCCCAAACCTTAAGAACAAATTTTAGCCCAATTGTCCAATTAAAACATGAAGCTCCCTTCACGTGGCTTTAAAAAAAAAAAAAACATAGCCTTTTCAATGTATTTCTAAACAGAAAGCACGTGAACATACTATTTCCAAACTCTTTCCTTCATGTGGCTTTTAAAGATCCCACCATATATTTCTTTCTGTTATGAAATACGGGGAATATAAAGAACACAATGTATAAAAACCGGAACGATTAT